GATGACCAGAAAGCCTTAACTTTTCACCGATATGTGGAGGCACTCAAATTTGCCAGTGGACAGAGACCAACGATTCGTGACCCTGATTTCAACCCTGAAGTAATGAAGGTAAAGAAGTTGTTTTCATTGTTCTTGTTTGTTTAGCACTGACACATGGTAACATATGTGATTGCTATAAAGATTATTCAAACAGATTTCTTCTATCAACAAAACCCTGTATTTCCGCGTGTTTGATTGTTATTTGTGGAATTTCTTCACACACATGTTGAAGGTTGTTTTTTAATTATAAAATTCATAAACGTTTCTGTGCAAGAAACTTCTGATTGATCCATCCATCCACTGTTACATTTTATTCAGTATAGCTTCATGGTGTCTGTACATTGCTGTTCTTAGGGAGATCAGTTTTTAATGCAGTATATAAGTATGCTGCTATGAGTTATTCAGTGTGTAAATACAGCCTTTCCTTTAAGATCTATTCCTGCTCCCTCACATGGTCATACAATACTGAAATGCGAGAACCTCCTGGACTTCATGAAGTCATGTCGGGAAGCAAGAGGTTCTTGACCTCATAACCTCAAAATCACCAAACAAATTACTCATCGCTCACAGGGACTGTTTTTTCATTGGCTTATGTAAAACCTGGCAGTGAATTAAAATCTCATTGGGGGTCTGGATCATTAATCTGATTGCACAATTGGATCCTCTTCTTTAAGCCTGCCTTCTATACACCCATTCACAAAATGCACAGCGGTCATTCAGTGAGATGGTGACTCGACAACTTCATTAGTCCTCCGTAATGCATGTGTGAGCAAATGAACTGACACAAAAGGGGATCCATGTTTTTAAAACATTGAATCGGAGAATGACCTTTCAGTGCAATTTGCACTTTTTGTTTTGTCACAGAGTAGAAATGAAAGCACACATATTTTGTCATTCGTGACACTGAAAGTCTCTAGTAATGGCTGTAGAATATCTGTATAATTTTCAAGACCACCATACATATTTCACAGCATATTGGTTAATTGGTTATAAAATACCATTTTCAATCTATGTTTGTACATTTCTATGCATGTGTTGATATTCAGTACCAGTTACTTATTTCAGTTCAGCAAACTCAGTATATTTTAAAAAAAAATCTCTTTTTTCAAGGAAGCGGAGTATTTGATAAGTGACAAATTTGCAAACCACGTGAGGACGATGATCAGCAGCTCCATGACACATGACCCTCAGTACTATAACATCACCCCTGCGTTGGACCACTTTGGCACCAGCCACATGTCAGTGCTGGCTGAAGACGGTACTGCCGTGTCAGTCACCAGCACCATCAACCACTTGTGAGGGCAACAAAATCTCCTTCTATGATACTTTAGTCACTCCTTCTCTGTCTGTCCATCATCTTTTAGACCTGGCAGATGTCAGGTCAATCCAGGAGAGCCTCCATAATTCATCCACCTATCCATCCTTCCATCCATCCATCAATCAATCCATCCATCCATCCATCCATCCATCCATCCATCCTTTTATCCAATACAGGGTCACTCATGCATTTCCCATGCAGTATGGGGACACAAGGCAAGGGAACACTCTGGATGGATGCCAGTCCATTGCAGGGCGCATCCACACAAACACTTTGTGCAGTATGTTTTGGGACTGACCAAAACATACTAGAGTGCATTTTCCCTTTTCCTGAGGCTCAGAGCACATGCAATATGGCTGCCACAGAGGCTTCCAGACATTTCCTATGCTCTGACATGTTTTTTTGACATGTCTCCACACAGCTTCGGCTCCATGGTGTACTCTCGCAGGACTGGGGTGATTCTCAACAACGAGCTGGCTGATTTCTGTAATGGTCGGGGCCATCTTCAGCCAGGTAAGATGATGCGTTTAATCCTTCCTCTCTGGCTTTGCTTGCTGTTCAGTGTGGGTGTGGTTCCACTTGAGTTCTTCCCTTCTCCTCCAGGGGAACAGCCTCCTTCCTCAATGGCCCCGTCGATACTCTACTCAAAGTCCAAGAATAAGCTGCTGTTGATTGGAGGATCAGGGGGCACTATGATCACTACTGGGGTGGCCTCAGTAAGTGTTTCTTGGTTTCTGCTGCACTTCCTAGTGAGAGTTGTCCATGAAGCTGACTCTTCCAATATGAAGGTGTCATTCTGGTATGGGGGTAACCAAGAACTCCCCCTAGAATAAATAAATTATATTTCTTATATCTTAGATGAATTGGTGACTTTGGGCTGACCTCCAAGAACATGACTTTATACTGGACAAGTGATTCTGGAGATGGAATTACCTCCCTTACCAGCACCCGGATCACCTAGCTGTTCGTCATCAGCTCTCTACTAACCCACACTGTTTTTTTTTGTCCCGTTTAGGCTCTGATGAACCACCTGTGGTTTGAGAAGGACCTGCAACAAGCGATCTCTGACCCGGTCCTGTATGTGAACGCCAAGAGCCAGATTGAGGTGGAGAAAGGGTTTGATGGGGTAAGTGTATTTTGTGTAGCGATTTGAAGGAAGAAGCCAAACAAGGAAGTCACAGGATGATTGTATTTTCCTCTGCTTGATTTTGGTGGCACATTTCATATTTTCCTATTAACCGATAAGCCAGAAATGTCACCTTCTGTAGTGCATGTCTTTATACAAGTAAAAGAAAGTTGTTGAGTCATTTCTTTGCTTCCTTGTGTCCTCAGAGTGTTGTAGACAAACTGAAAAAGCTTGGGCACAGCGTGGGCAACATGACTTACTCTCTCAATGTGGTCAATGCCATCTCCAGAGAGGGCTCATGCATCAGCGCCATGTCAGACACCAGAAAACTTGGGAAAGCCGTCGGCTACTGACCCCATGGACACATGGTCAATGATGACCCCATGAATTCTGCTGTCATTGTGTCTACGCTTTTACCCAAAAGCTGGTTTCCAGAGAATCCACGCTACTCGGTACTACCGAAACTGATTCGCAGATGAGGGTGTCTGCGGGCGGCCTCGTGAAAATGTCACTTCCTGGGTGCACAAATTTTGGGCCTCAACAGGTCTCTGCCTGCTCTGGCACCCGTATTCACCCACCTCTGGGTTTAAAATTATAGGCATCACACCTACATAAATACTGTAAATAATCCCACAATGTGAAACAGAACTTTTGTATACATTTTCATTTCACTTCTTGGGTTAAATGACCTCACACACATTGTTTAGGTCAAAACAAACTTGCATGTGGTATCTGGCCTGAATGTATACCACAAAGAAATGTGTGTATGAATTGCATAAGTGTATCGTCTTGCTCTAGTGCCAGTGAACTGGAAAGTCAACGCTTCAGGTGAATCACACTTTCTGTTTCTGCTGGGACACATATTTACTTAAAGACATTAAAATACACTAACACACACTTACTCTGACTGCAACTCTAAGAAATTACAGGGTTACAGACACATAAAGGGAAAACAGTGAAGACATTTATAGACAAACCAACAACTGCCAGAGCTAAACTAATTGAGTTTTAAAGGTATTTCCTAAAGTATTTTAAAGTCCTGCTACTGAGAAGCCACTGTTTACTGATTGTTTTTAGTTTAAGCTTTGTAGTTAGTAGTCATCTCTGCATTAATTTACCTTGGCTGAGCTGATGCCTGAATTAATCACAGAATTCCAGTTACGTTATATGTGGACTCGCTAATGGTTTTTCAGTGTGGTTGACCTAAAATAAAAAATACCTCTGAATCGGGATTACCCCTAAAGTGAAAAAAACAATGCATGTTATTTCATCACAACTCCTGACATCACAATTTACTGAACATATAAGCTTCACCAATAAAATGTAGTGCTGCGTTTGGTTTTACAGGCTTACTGTAAGTGATCACACCTAAAACATGGACTAATCATATGTTTACAATTTAAAATGTACAATAAATACTGTGAACTGCTCCAACCAAGTGACAGTTAAATTGGGGCAAATGCAAAAAAATGAGCAAATCCCTTTGTTATAAAATTCCCAGTATTTTTGTATTCGACATACTGTAAATAAACAACCACACACAGACATGCACATGCATACACAACTGCCAATTACTCAGAGTTTTGTATATGGAACATTTTTTGTACTTCTGTATTTTTCCAAGTGTGTAATATTTGTGCTGTCTATTAGAATAAATACTGGTGCATTTCCTTCAGGATTTGATGTATGTTGTATTTACAAGAATTTTATATATTTGCTTGTTCCGATGCTCTGAGTCAAGAAGGTTTCGTCGTTCTGGATCCAGCTGAGGCTAAATGCCTGGGAAGGACGTGGCAGTGAGTTACACGCGGAAGTCATGCCAGTCACGTCCAGTTTGTCGTTTTCCCAACATGACCACTGCTACTGCTTTGATTACCCCATTTAGCACAGCATGAAGAGAGAGGGCCGTTTGTTGTCTGACAGCTCTGACACTGCTTGTTTGGATTCGACCCCAGTTCTGTCAGTTCAGTGCCTCTCTGCCAGCTGACGCTCCCATACTGGCAAAAGGCCAGCACTGCTTTGGTTCAGTTACACTGTGTCACAGGGAAAAACTCTCCTTCACTGCCAAGGGCCTGCTGCTCTCTTTCCAGAATGGTTTGTTATCATGACGTACCATCTCTAGCGTCAGGTAAAATCAAGCAGGTGACAATCACCTACTTTGTGCTGCATCCTAACTTGCACTTCCTGCTTCCTGGAATAGACGCTAGTAAAAATGTAACCCTCACCCCTCCAGGTGACAACTACACCATTTTCTAAAATAGTGGGGGGGGGTCTGACAATGCCTTTGTGCCTCTGCACACATACCTCCCTTTAAAGTTTAATTGATTATTTTCACTACACTAAGCACAGAAAAAAATTCTCATTAAGTCCGAGTCTGAAGCCTGATTCCCTGGTCCCCACATTGTATGCTGACTGAGGCATTAGTTGGATCTGTTACAACACAAATCTCGGTATGACATCTATTAACACAACTTACTTTTCATTTGCAGAATAGGCTTAAGCACAGCTTAATCAACATTTTCTTAAATTAGTAATTTAATGTTTCTCAAACGCTGCACAAGGGAATCATAAAAGACACTTTTATAAAATGGTGGCAGGCTTTACTGAAAACAGATTTTAAAAAAAGAAAGATGAAACTTATTTTGATGGCACACATTCCCCCAAAACATTTTGTAACATATTATATAGATGATTCAATATATGACACACCCTGATTTGTCGATGACTCCATGAAACCTGTCCAATCAGGTGCATAACTGAGAAAAACGTTTGGTCTCCAACTAAACACACACATGCACTTTCCACCAACTTCCTGTTCATTACTTCTGCCTGATCTGGCAAGGCAGGCATGTAAAAAAGAGGCTGTTACACATACTGCGATCATCTCTTATGATTAATGATTATTGTATTAATGAGTAAAAACAAAAGTCACAAGGCACAAAACATGAGAGAAAAGTTAATAGAAAATCTGTCAAACTACTTGTTTACTGTGATCCTATGGTATGCAAAACCACTTTTTTTGCCAGTGGCAATTTATCAGGGATAAAAAGAATTGATAATGAAGTTTCTGTTTCCTAGAAACGACTCACTAAGCCTTTCATTTCATTTGTAGGTCGTCCAGAGAATTTATTTTCAGTGAACTGGCAGAACAGTTGGGTAGCTGGGGGAAGATTTGGTGGTCATCCAAATAAGCAAAAGCCTTGTTCAGAAACCAGTGAATTCACCAACTAATGGTAATAAGAGAGAAGAGCACTGGACTGGTTGTTTGATATTGAAAGGTTTTGTCATGCATCCAACATATTCCCTTAATTAAGTTAAATGGTTGGAAAGTCCCTAGTTGTTTAACCTCTGTGGGAAATGCAACACCGTGCCATTAGGACTTAAGTATCTGAACAGGGCTGAAACAATGGTATGATGACACTTTGTTCAGGGATCAACCAGATGCCTTGTTTCATGCCTCTTTCAACTTAATTATGTCTGCATGTGTACATTGTTTTCAACAGAAGAGTTCCGCGTTCCCCACACCTAAGGGACTATCGCTGAGTCTTCAGAAAACCTGGATGACTAAAAGGCTTCTTAAGGTGACTGAATTTACCTGCTTCTTGAAGTGCTGTTAACATTTAAGCTGTTTTTATCCCCACAAGAAATGCAAACAGGCAATTAATGTAACATACTTGAAACTGTTTTAAATCTATGCGGCACTGTTTCACAAATCAGCACAACCAGCAAATCAAAATGAATCTTTTCATCTTGCTTCCATATGTTTTTTTGTGAGTTTATCTGGGAAGAGCAGTAGGAATATTGTAAATGGTGTTCTGTAGCAGTCCGCTTTTTTGGCAGTAAAGCTGTTGACCGCGATTTTGCGGGGACAGCGTTCCTCAGCTGCGATTGATAGGTATTGGGTAAACTATGGTATTGTACTAGCAGTATTGATTTTGGGGTAGAATGGAACAAATGAGTCACAGTGAGCACACACACCGATGAGGAGTACAAAACTAAATATAAACAGAGCAGAGTAACACAAAGAAAAGAGACAGATAAAGGGCGAACACAAGGTCCCCACGAAGCACATACAGGCTACAAACACATAAGCATTTCGAAACTGTGCTTTTTCTTTGGGGGGGGGGAGTGGTCTGGGAAGCCATCTGGGTGGTTTTTATACAATACAAACCAGGCTGTGTACATCTCAGCAGATGGTTTGTTGTGGCTTTATGTTGTTATAGTATCAATAAAATATTTTGCAAACACCCTTGTAGAGAGAACCGCATGGAACAACAGGAGACGCGGACGGAATTGCAGAGAACTAAGCCAGGGAAGCCGGTGCCATCCATGCCGCTCACTAAAGAGACCGCGCCCAAGCAACGAAGGGTCTCTCCTTCGGTGGGGTGGGACCATAACTTGCAATAAACTCAGGTCTTGGCACGCAGCTTGTGCGCACTGCCAGGGCTGTGGTCTGCAATTCATTTCACTGGCATTGCTTACATGCTGAGAAACCTGCAGCTGAAATCATTGTCGAAATGCAGTTTGGTATGAGGCACGACAACGCATTGTATAAAGCATTATGCAAGACGGATTGATGGACAGTGTGTGGGTGGATGTGGAATTCTACATCATTTTCTGCTAATGACATAGTCATGTCTGGGCTTCCAGTCCCACCAAGTTCCCCAGTTTAAGGGGAACAGCAAATCAGAGCAGATAAGGGGAATTACACAACGATCTAAAATAAACACACACCCGCATTTTAAAATTAGAACTGCAAACAAAGCACCCGGCCAGAGGTGCCAGGGGGAGGGGATTCTGAAAAATTCTGGCTTTAAAAACACATTTTGGCTTGCTGCCTTATTATTTACAGCAATCAAAAATGTGATTGGTCAGCATTTTCGAGTCTTGGGCTGGGCCAAGCTTGTGATTGGGTGGTCCAGGCCCATCCTGGCCCTTCCGTGCAGCTACCAGTCAGTCTCCTAACTGAATCAAAATATATAATACCAGTATTAAGTATATTAATTAAACCTTTGGAGGAGTCACGTGGTTGAGTAAGTCACTGTCTTTTCCCAGGGATGTAAATAAATATTAATTTAAGTTCTTACTTTGACACCTGATAATTTCCCATAAAAGGATCTGGAAGATTCAAAGCAGCTGTGATCACATGGATTGAAGAGGGCAAAGAAAGAGGGTCATGCAAGGGAGCTTCCTCTTCCCTCTCAGTACCCTGCTGGATAGCCCATCTTCCTGGGGTCCGACTCAGCGTCAAGCAGATTCTCCCTCCTCAGTATGGCCTGCACCACGGACCCGCCTATGTTCAGAACTTCGATCATGTGGTTTTTCTTTGCCAATCCATCAAGCACACTCTAAGCACATAGAAAGACAAGTACAGCTTTGTCGTCATCTGTGTTAGTGCTGCCAGCGTTGTCTGTCGTCTTACCGTTCTCCTTAGTTACCTGATTAAAGCCCGCCTCTACTACAGTGGTGTTGGGACGGAGCTGGTTGTGGATCCTTGGCTCCCTCACCGCCTTCCTCAGGTCGTAATTAAAAAACAGCGAGTTGAGGATCACCTGTCAGAGAAATGGACGAGTCAGTTGAAGCACCATGGCAAGAGGATGGGCATGAAGAATGGATGGGTCTACTGACCAGGGCTGTCGCTGTTGTGATCTTGGTCCCACCAGAACCTCCCACCACCATTTTGACCTTCCCCCCCTTGTCTGTGAGGATTGTTGGACACATGGAGGACAGAGGTCTTTTTCCTAAGTCATAAAAACCAAGTCAGATTTTCAACAGGAACTAAAAAGGCTACCACTTTAGCCATGAGTTTTCTGAATTCATGTTCATGAGTGTTATCAGAAATCAGAAACACAAACACTTTGATTGAAATGGAGAAAGCTAAGGTATTAGCAAAAGAGCACGGACATGCAGGATTTGTAGCTACGATGCCATTTTTCCAACTAAACAACCCCATAGAAGTCCACATCTCCCCATTTACGATAATCACACATATTTTCGTGCTAAACAGAGAAACATGTGCAGCTAAACACTGTGTACCTGGGATAGAAATAAGGAAATTAAGTTCTGTATTTGTGCCCAGTGTCTTGTGAAATTATGTTTTTCATACTTAAGGTTTGTATTGGGTCAGTGAGTCGGCAATCATTGCTTCACACGTGCATCTGCACCTAGAACCTATACAAAAGCCCTCATCTCTGGCTCCCTCACCTGGACGGATGTAGTTGTTGGGTGAAGGATCCACTCCATAGCCATTAGTGATATTGGGAGAGCTGAAGTCGTCCATCTCATTATTCAAGAGGATACCAGTCCTCCGGGACAGAACCTTAGAACCAAAACTAAAAAGAATATTGCGCATTCAATGCCTTTTTGGAATACTGAGTCTTCCATGCCAGTTTACATAGACATCAATGACTATGGATCAGTGTACAAAATGCTAACATACTGGAAAATGAATTAATATCTTAAAGGTTTTACATTGTGGCCTGGTTCCCCTGATATATAAATGAATCTGTAAATCATTTGTTTCCAAGTTTAACTTGGTCATTATTAAAGAGGATGATTTAGTCTTCGTTAATGAGATAAATTACTTTACCTATTCTAGACTTATCAAACTTGGTTGTAAGGCAGTTTCTATCTACAAAATGATGAAACCTTCTGCACAATGGATATATTTCAGGTTATATGCTTTGCAAAAGAGAAATACAGCAGGGAGTAGAACCAGAAATCTTTGGGTTATGAGACCTTGAGGCCTTGTCTACAGGCTTAGGTGGGAAGCCATGGTAACAGTGGTAAACTAGTTGGTAACCATACTAGTGGTTGATGGTGCTAGTAGCTGCCACAGCGCTGCCATCCTCTGCCACGACGGAGAGGTGGGCCGTGCCCTGGCTGCTGGGGACGTAGTAGTCAGGCTCATAGTAGCTTTCGGGGTGGGTGGTGTTGTCAGTGATCTTGGTGCGAAGGTTTTCAGCGAACTCCTCTGAGGTCATGTTAGCGATGAGCTGAGGGAACAGAGATGGAAGTAAATTAATGACAAAAGTCGTTGATGAAAAAAAACACGGTGAATTACACTTATCGAATAAAAACACATTACATTAACGACGCTTTGAATTTTTGGGGACTGTAATCTAATATGTGTATATACATTTAAACATTGAACATTTCAACTGAAAACATTTCAATTGTAATTTCATTGCTTAAATATTCAGTACAAAAATATTCGGCTTCCAAAATTAAGTTCCAAAACATACGTATTTTAAAGTGCATGTTTATAATTAATTCAACCACATGAATTCAGTTAATTTAATTTCGCCTCAAAATAAATTTCAAAAGAACAAATTCAGTTGAAAATATTCCATGTGTTTAATTCGCATCTTTATTATTCAAGCAGTAACATTCAGTTCTCTTATTTCTGCTTTACAATATTCAGTCCCGTTATTTTCGCTGTTTCAAATACGCTGCCACAATTTCAGTGGTTTAAAACACGATCCAAAATTCAACCCTCTACATCCGGGACTAGCAGGATGAGCCATAGATTGCCAATAGAGTTCTCTTCGGGAACCGCGATCAAAATGGAGCAAGCGATCAGTATAAGTAGTGATTGACTTGGCAGCAGATTTTTATTGATTGTGTTATTTATGTTTCTTGTCGTTTACTGGTCAATATGATAACTTGAAGAAGCTGCTGGGGAGCTGCGAGTTAATGCATTAGTAAGAGAGGCTACCGCTAAGGTCAAGCTGGATGGGGTGGGGTCATTATCTGTTCCTATACAGGCTAATGTCCAGGGGCTCATTTCAGATGAAGTCCATCAGCTTAACCAGGTACTGGAGAAGCATCATGCTGAATTTTCACAGGAAGACCAGGATTATGGCTTCACTACGGTCTTGCATTGTATCCCAACAGGCGATGTGCATCCTATCAAGCAAAGACATCGCAGGATTCCCCCGCATGTATTCCAGGAGCTCAAGCAACATGTACAGGACCTGGCTGCACAGGGTGTATAAAAGGAGAGCTGCAGCCCTTGGGCATCACCTGCAGTAGAGGGATGGATCTGTACGTATTTCTTGTGATTACAGTAAACTTAACAATGTGACACACAGAGATGCCTACCCTTTACCTAGGGTGGAGGAATCACTTGATGCTCTGGGTCATGCTTGGATTCTCTCTTCTTTGGACCTCACTGTGGGTTATTTCCAAGTGGTGGTGGCTGAACATGACCAAGAGAAGACGGCTGTAGTCACACCATTTGGTTTGCTGTTTAATGCCCCAGCGACATTCCAGTGCTTGATGGAGGCGGTCATGGGCGATATGGCATTTGAGGTTTTGTTGGTTTACTTGCACAATATCCTTGTATTTCTCAAGGATTTTGAAAGTCATGTTGAGAAGCTGGATCTGTCTTTTGGGTGCCTGCGAGAGCATGGAATGCCAAGCAGCATTTGATCGACTGAAGAAATGTCTGATGGCATCACCGGTACATGCATATCCAGACTTTAATCTCCTAATCATTGTAACAACACATGGGAGTTACCTGGTCCTTGGGAGGATCCTGAGCCAAAGGCAAGAAGGGTTTGAACTTGTAGTAGTCTTTGCCAGCCAAGGTATGTGAGGGTCTGAGAGGAACAACAAGAATTATAGCATCTTTAACCTGGAACTATTGGCCCTTGAGCGAGCAGTCAATGAGAAATTCAGAGATCTGTTGCTATATTCTAAGTTCACCATCATTATGGACCACAACCCCTTGCGGTACTTGGAGACCTCAAATCTCGGTGAAGTAGAACAAAGGAGGGTGTCCCAGTTGCCAGAATTTAACTTTGAAGTACATTACAAGCTTGGAAGACTGAACCAAAATGCAGATGTGTTGTCCTGTGTTCCAGTGGCTTTAGAATCCAACATTAGGGACACAGAGAGATTTCTTGGTAAGTAGGGTAGAGGCAGTGTGTGCTTGTTTGTGGCCTGTCTGTAGAGTGAGGTCTGAGGAGCCGGGTGGATACTTGGCAGCCAAAGCTGAAAAGCCAAATCTGTGGGTACAGCTGGAATGAGGGCCGGATTCTACCAATGGTTCTGTATTGACGGCCGTTAAGGTGCACAAAAGACCCAAGAAACAACCTGCGTGCAATGAGCTGGTCACAACAGAAATTGACTGGGCAGTGGATTAAAGAGCTCTGCCACGTTAATGGTATTGCCAAAAGTAGGACAAACTCCTACCACCCACAAGGAAATGCAGGCATTTGAATCTCACACTGCATGAAATGTTAAGGTCTCTCACAGCAGAAAAGGGCCTGGAGGGAGCATCTGCTGGAGTTGGTCATGGCATACAATGCCACGCCCCATTTTACTTACCTTCTAGGAGGGTTGCACGTCTTCCCAGAGACATTCTAGGAGGTGAGGACCTGGCAGTTAATGATGCTGACAACATGGATGACTGGGTTCTAGGTCATCATCAATGACTTCAGGCTCGGGCAGCAGCTCAGCAGGATTCACAGAAGCACAAGAGGATATATGACCATAAGACATGCGGGGCTCAAATCAGACTAGTTGACTGAATCCTCTTGAGAAACCACTGACCCAGGGGCAGGAACAAAATCCTTGATGGTGGGAGCCAGATCCTTACCTCGTGGCTCAAACCCATTCCGATGTATCAGTGTTTACAGTTAGACCTCAGGCTGGTGCCCCTGCTAGAGTCGTGCATAAGGAGCAGATGAAACCTTGTGTCTCTGATGTCCCTGGCTCCAGAACTGACCCCCATACTTGTGAAAGGGCCCAGGATCAGTTCATTTCAGACACCTATGATGTAGTGTAGTCATCCTATGGGGAACATACACTACATACCGGCAGAGGATGAATCGGGGGGGGGCTTCTCACAAGGCAAATGAATCCAGTGTAGATAGTGAGGATATGCCAAAGCCTAGTCGGCCCAGGTTTCAGGACTCTTTCATAAAATAGCTCAGAGTATCATTGTGTTTTGTCTTGCACTATGGATGATTGTTGCACTCCGATGTATGTTACGTACAATGTATACTTCCTGGTTTTGGTAATCAATGCTCTACCTTGATTTCTACCAGCTACATAATAACAATGTTAATGGATTGAAAACGAAGGATAATTGCTGTTGAATTCCAATGCTGTGGCAGGGTTTGGAAGAGGGAAGTGTGGCGAGCCACATAACACTGACTGGCTTGTAAAGGGTTAAAGGGGGCTCTAATAATGAATGAGCACGTCACCAGTCAATGAATGAGGCGAAAAGAGGCGGGAGCAAGGAGACAACAGCCAATGTGGGAATCCCGAGCAAGGCCATGTGTAAAGGAGAAGTTTAATGTCTGATGTTTAATGGTGATAAAACAAACGAAAGATGAAGGCTGCAGAACCAAGCTGTGCAAGTTCATGCAGCAGATCATCAAGATGCGAGATGGACGGCAGCTGGCGTGTTTGAAGAAAATGGACGGCAAACCAACTGGGACGACACCATCAGTGAATCTGTTTGGCAAGTAGGATGTTTCCCTTTTCCATCTCCCTTTGTTAGCATTCCTTGCCAGGTGCCCTTGTCCACTCAACACTGTTGACGGATTTTGTGACCTGAAATTCCTGAACTTTATGTGCACTGTTCCATTGAATGTACAGTGGAATGTATGTCATTATTGTGCAGTGTAGTATGGAGAAGCGTTTGCTGTACTGATGATTTCGAGCTTAGAGTGAAATTTGAGTTTTGAGTTAAAATTTTATTTAGTATAGTAGGGGCAGATAACGTGGTGCAAGTGTGATTCGCTGCCTTTCCTTTTTCTGTCTTAATGGCAGAATAAAAGCAGTTTGCGATGTTTTCGGTTGAAAAGCAGAAAAGTTTTGTTCATTGTCCCTGGACCCTTTGAAGCTGAATGTATTTATTGTGTTATTTAAGTTCGCTATATTGATGTGGTGGTGGACACAGCGAAGATTTCTTCTGGGTTAAGTTTAAATCAATTTGCCATTGTTTCAGAACCATTGTGTCAAGTCGATTTGCTAGCTGGAGGGAAGGGGCAGGAAGCTATAAGGTGATCACGCATTCATTTAGGGCTCTATCAGCACACTAAATGCAAGACTACGCATGGGGATGGTGTCAGTCCAAAACCCCAGAGCCTACCCCTATTACATGGAAATGCAACATAGATAGAATCCAGTTCCTACTTGGAGGTTGAGGAGCAGTTACGTGTGCCGTTTACCTTTTACAGCAACGCAATATTCCAAGAATATCGGAATTTTATCATCTACGGTACATAACATCATTAAAAGACTCAGAAAATCCAGAGAAATCTCTGTACGCAACGGACAAGGCCGAAAACCAATAATGGGTAGTCGTGATCTGTGGGTCCTCAGGTGGCACTACAAAACAGACACGGTTCTATAGTGGAAATTACTGCAATGGGCTCAGGAACTTCAGGAACCATTGTCTGTGAACACAGTTTGGTGCTGGATGAAACTCTACCATGCAAAGAAGAAACCAGATCTAAACAGGATCAAGAAACGCCGCCGACTTCTCTGGGCCTGAGCTCATTTAAGATGGAATGAGGCAAAATGGAAAACTGTCCTGTGGTCTGACGAATAAAAATTTTCTTATTTCTTATCGTGTCCTGCAGACTAAAGAGGTGAGGGACCATCCAGCTTGTTATCAGCAGACAGTTCAAAAGCCAGCATCCGTGAGGGTTTGGGGCTGCATTAGTGCCCATGGCTTGGGTAGCTTGCACATCTGAGAAGGCACCATTAATGGTGAAGGATATATGCTGCCATCCAAACGACTTTTCAGAGAAGGCCTTGAATATCTTGGCAAGACTTCAAAACGCATCTGGCACATATTACAACAGCATGGCTCCGTAGTAGAAGAGTCCAGGTGTTAGACTGACCTGCCTGCAGTCCAGATCTGTCACCCATTGAAAACGTGGTGCATCATGAAAGGAAAAATACGACAAAGGAGCAGCTGAAATCCTATATCAGGCAAGAATGGGACAGCCTTTCACTTTCAAAACTCCAACAACTGGTCTACTCAGTTCCCTGATGTTTACACAATGTTGTTAAAAGAAGAAGTGATGCAATACAGTGGTAAACATGCCCCTGTACCAGCTTTTTTGAAACATGTTGCTGGCATCAAATTCAAATCAAGCATATACAGTGATCTCCCGCTATATTTTCCCCAACGCATCACAGTTCTCTGCGTATCGCGTACCTTGCTTGCGGTCCGATTGCTGTGAGCAAACTTTTTTGTGAACTTTTCGAATATATTATTCATATCCTTACCCGGACATCCACATATCATACGTGTTTACAAAGTGTGTTTTAATAAGTTTACATGCGTTTAAAGCATGTGGAAGGGATATTTTAAGGATTAAACTATATAAAAAAATGTTTATTTATATGGTCTTTCTATATTGCAGATTATCACCTATCACTGGTCTGGAACGTAACTTCCACGATAAACGGGGATCACTGTATTTCTCATAGAACAATGACATTCCTCAGTTTCAATATCTGATATGTTGTCTTTGTTTTATTTTCACTTAAATATATGATTTGTAAATCACTGTACAGATGCTCCTCTACGTACGACTCTTTCAACGAACTTTCAGACATACGAACGAAGAGGACTATAAATCCAAACTGTGTTCCTTGGCTCCCGTTTCCTGTCCGCAACATCAATTTTTTTTTCTGCGCACCAATTCTGCCTAGTACGACTTCCCACTGCGCAGCACGTAGCATGCGTACTCCCAGCAGCGTAGCGTGTGTACTCCCAGCAGCGTAGCGTGCGTACTCCCAGCAGCGTAGCGTGCGTACTCCCAGCAGCGTAGCGTGTGTACTCCCAGCATCCTAGTTCTCTGTACTTGCGTATACCCTTAAAATGATGTTGAATAATGACTTATAAACAACGTTGCGAACGGCTGTTCCGAACGTATCTCGTTTGCAAGTGGAGGAGCGTCTGTATTCTGTTTTTATTTACATTTTACACGGGGTCTGAACTTTTTTGGAAACGGGGTTGTTTTAAGCTGATTAACTGGGTATTCGGTTGATGAATCATTACCCTCAGCTACTATACCAGCATATGCCTCCTACTCCTTTGAATGGTATCCAATGGTGACAGCCCCAATACCTTAGGATTAGAGCTTAATGGGGTGACGGACTTACATTGGTGATGTTCAGGTAACGAGGATCCCCCAGATTGCTCCTCTTGCCGTAGGCGAAGCGAAAGGCTTCCACAATGCGGTGGTAGGTAAGGGTCTTCGTCTCTGTGTCAGAGACACTCGCGGCTGTGAGGTTATAGCCTGTCGGCAGAAGAATTCCGATGAACAGCAGCTGGGAAGCTGCAGAATTCCATCGAAAAGCTTGTCTAAAAAAACTGACAATAACGACAAGGGATTTAACGTCTTAAAAAAGAAAAGAAAGACAAACTTCATGTAACTTTTCTTTCCATCCCAGTGAAACTGTGGAGATATATTTGTTCAAAGAAAGGGAGCAGCTTTCACTGCAACACTGAAGCGTAAGTCACAAAGTCACAGTGGCTGGAGGTATTAATGATTTGCCGGCTGAGCCCTTTCTGAGAGGGACCTGTATCTTCACACCTGATGATTCCGGCAACCTTCTCTTAGAGAGGAGTTTGCTTGGGACAACAGAAGCTGTTTAGAGAAGGTGCTCCATCAGAGCTGAAGTCTAAAGAGAAAAAGGTCCACAGTTCTGGAAAGTCACAGCTCCACCTACTGCTGAAACCTGCTTCCCCAACTGTAACCCCTGGAGACCTGAGTGTTAATGTCACAGGCAGGCTTTTGCTGCTTTAAAGGTCCCCGAATCACTCAGCAGACTAATACCAGTCACTTATTCTCCCTTCCTGTTATGTCATGGCAGATTTGCAAGATGGAGAATGGCAGGATTTGGCCAGCAGTGCCTGATAACCCACTGTGACTTTCATATTGTCTGCGGGGGGAGGGGGACGCAGCTTACCTTTCAGGATGTTAAGTATAAGGGCGAGGACTGGGCCGCTGGACGGAGCACTGGGGACCCACATAGTGTACTGCCCCACTTCTACTTTCAGCGGGCTTTCATCTAGCTGAGGTCGGTAGGCCTGCAGGTCCTCCAGTGTGATGATACCCCCTGGAACGCAAACAAAGAGACACTGTCTCAACTGGAGGTCACACACAATCATCTCCATCTGCAAGTGTAATATTCAGTCCACTACTTTTAATTAGGAATTCCATTAAACTCTCATATTTATCTATGTGAATAACTTTGAGCAATGGAATGTTTGATATGACAAAGCCCACACTGAACTTCAAACATGTCACGCTTTGGTAAAAGTAAACAGCCTGTCATAACAAAGTCGAGCTCACCTTCCCTGAAACAGCTACCTATAAATCTTTATGACTGTAAACCTGCATGGAAGAATTCCTTGGCACAGACTTGGACTTCCTCCTTGGAACTTGCAACTGATGGATTTAAAGCTTTTCGTGTTTTTTTGAGAAACATCTTGAAATGACTCTTTGTTAGCGCAACAAAACCAAAAGTGGTTCCACAGAATTGTGCAATCTGTAAACAGGAAACTTAATCAATTAATGTCAGTATGATGGGTAACAGGAGAGACAACCTGCTTCCTGAATGTCCTTCACGATGTCCTCTGCCATTTTCCCAGTGTAATACACGTCAGGTCCCTCAGTGGCTATTCTTTCATAGGTGTCTGCGAGGGTGAGAAACCTAATGGTTTCGTTCTCCTTTAGGGGACGCTTGTTTGCATCGCAGAATACGTTGCTGAAACACAAAGGAGGAGAAACAGCGGCATTAGATCATAAAAGAGGAGACATTAGCAGCTAGCTCATGAGATCATTGTAACATGCAACAGTTCGGTGTTCAGGAGCATTAACAAATAAACAAAGCTGAGTTCAGTGCACTGGAAATGCGTGCAGGTAGAACGTCACTTCTCACCACAAGGCTGCATCACCCTGGATGGTGTCCTTGTTTTTGTCAATGGCCAAGGCCAGGGCATTCCTGATGGGGAACCCTTTGCGAGCCAGACGTATGCTGGGCTCAAACAGATCCTTCCAGGGCAGGCGGCCATGCCGGCGGTGTGCCAGCTCATACCCCCGGATCTCCCCCGGCACAGCGACTGCCAGACCACCTGCAAGACAGTCGACCCACATGACTGAAACTACCCCACCCGCGAATGCGGTTCCTCAAGGCTTTGGGGTCGACATAATCATAACCAGCAGTTCCTAGAGTATTCCATCCATCCAAATGGCCTTTAGCTTGACTGTAGCTAAGTGGAAGGCAACCTCACGACACGAGGGGAACATACATACTCCACACAAAGAGCAGAGGTAAGATTTGAACCCACAACGTTGGACGGTTTATTGATTCTAGGAATGTTTTTCTGGCTATCTCTCCTTACATTCATTGCTAAAAATGTAATTTACCAAGGAAACTAGTAATTAACTATAGTAAATTACAGCACCGTTTTATCTTGCATTGTTTCATCCATGCAGAAGCCAGAAAACATTTCATACATTCCAGTTAAACCCTAGCATTGCAGTAAGGCGTGTAGAAATTGGCATCATTTCCTATTTGTTTGCTCCCCCTGTCAACATGAGGGTGTTTTAGAGGGATCTTATTCCTGCTGGCCTTTGTGCTCTCAGGTTTTCCTATCAGCCCCTCTGAGGGGATCCTTAAAATACAGAGAACAAATGTAACATCACGACCGCTTTAGGTCATTCGCTGGAGGCACAGTGGAGTCTCTGCGCTTGACAGAGCATCCTCAGGTTATTTTTGTACAGAAACGCACGATTCTGTATTGAAGCCAGCTAACTGGCATTAGCTGAGTGTGCTTGTTGGCACAGGAGCCTTCATGTACCGCAGTACACAGGAACAGGAGTTGTGTGGGCTACTTTGTGACAGCTTTCTGTAGTAAAAACTGCACAAGTGCCCCCTACCTTGTGGCATGAGTCATATCTCAGATGGCAGTGAGCAGACTTCAACAACAACGTGTGGCCAGTGCACTGCGCACCTTTAACCTGTGTCATTACGATTCACAGCCGGTCAGTAAAGATAGCATGATGCACTGCTATAAATTTAATTTAGCCACATTTTCACATGTTGCCATGTAACATAATTCTTGGATTTGACAAAATTTTTCTGAGTAAATTATTTTTCTTTGTAAGCACTCATTAACTGTCTCAGTAAATCTTGGCTAAGAACACTTCTGTTGTTATTGTCCATCACTGGCTGGTAGTATTTAAATATTTATTGTATAATAATTGCAAGATGGCAAGGTGGCCTAGTGGGTTGTGGGTTCCATGTGTCTGTCCCTGTGTTCACATGGTTTGTTTCCCTGCCTTGTGCCGGTAATTCCTGGGTTTGGCTCCAGGCTCAACACCACCCTGTACTGGATAATTTTTCAATGGAAAACAGATGGATGGATCAACACTGTATTATTGTTCCCAAATTTTGTATTACAGAGGCAATGGAGCCTCACCTTTACTGGACAGCTGTTCGTTACCGATGTACATGTCTTCAGATGCGTTCAAAGGTGCTGTCTCTCTTGCATCGATGGTTTCTACCTTTCCTGGGTAAATCCAAACAAAAAGCAGCCTGTGTAGCCCTGTCGGATATTCTGTAAATGGGGGAGACACAGAGCTTTCAGGAGCAGAGGGCAGACCCACCTGTAGTAGCATTGTAGATGGTTAAAAACAGCCCTCCCCCAATACCCATGCTGTGGGCGTTCATGAGCCCCACACACAGCAGGGCGGCGATAGAGGCATCCACAGCAGAGCCCCCCTTCTTCAGAATGTCCCTGGATATGTTGGAAAAACACACACAATCAAATGCAGTCAAAAGCTCTTTAATGGATGGTGTGAAGGTAGTATGTCCTAGAATGGCGCATCTCAGGAACTATTCTTGCGTTCACTTTTCCGCTACTCTCTACTGGATAAACAATTGGAAGATGAAAGGATCAGCGCAGAGTCCTGCACGGGTCCACTTTTGGAGACCTGCACCCGCCCGCACCTGCACAGTACAGCACCACACCCGTCCGTGCACCCGTAATTATTTCAAAGTTAAATCCGCACCCGCCCGGGCCCCTTAACATTCCGCCCGTTACCCGCCCGTACCCGTGATAAATTACACACAATTATTTTTTCTATGCACCTCTCAACGTGAAAAGCGCTAGGCCTACATGAATTTTGAATTGAAACGAAAAAGTCCGTTTAACACAAAACCAAATCAGATAGATCTAAGCTATTCTTACTGTGACGAGTGTGAAAGAGAGAACACGACGACACGCTTCAGCAAGGATTCAGACGTGTATGTGAATGTCTGTCGAGGCGGTTATCTAATGGTGCGTTCGTTTCTCTCTCGGAACTTGGAAATTCCGAGTTGAGTGACATCACGTCCGACAATCTCCCGTTCGAGCTACCGCATCTCGGAACAAACATGGCTGCATCCATGAACACGCTGCTGTGTGTTGTTGCTTTATATTTTAGCAGATTTGGAGTGAGATTATTTTTTCTGAGAGACAAACAAACAAGAAACATGAACTAGTCAAACCACATTAAACGCTTTATAAAATATTTTAGCACATTCATAGCAATATTCTTTTTTCGAGAGACAAACAAACTACAAACAAACCAAAGACACTAACTGGTAACTAACAAGCCTGGTAAAAATCTGATATTGCATGATAGGATACTGTTTACCTCCCGATCTCCGAGCACGGCCCTGCATCTGCCGCCACTGCGGCCCTGCTGAAGGATTGCTTGTCATCCGGGGCCCCAGCGGGGAGTTTTCTGTGGCCAACACCGTAGAACACCCCCAGGAAGATGCACACTGTTGCCACCAGTAACGCCAGCAGAGAGATGACGATCGTCTTCCGGACCATTTTCCTGCCACCACACATGGAAGTATCTGTCACACACATACACTCCACCTCTCTCGAGATAGAAAAATTATAAATCTCATCTCTAATTACTCCAGTTAAGCCACTTAGAATAAAACTCTGCTCCCCTCACACTCTGGCACCAGGCACCCCGAGCACCCAGTTGAGAAACCATAACTCCCAATTCCAGATAAGGACTTCTAAGTTCTGATTGGTCACAAAACACCAACAAACCAAGCTCAAACGTATAGCAAACACAATTCTCCTGCTCTGTTGGTTCACCTTGGTAGCAAGGCAAATCCACGCATTTTGCTCATTTTACCAAAACATGTCTCGACTGCTAGGCTCCTACTTGAGATATGAAAATAGATATTGATTATATTGACACTGAATCACTGTAAGTACTTGGTTAACTTTTGAGTAATATGATTGACATATTATATTGACGTATTGTCATTGAATCACTGTAAATATTAAGTTGACCTTTGATTAACATGAGAACTACTTATATACTTGTACTACATAACATATTGCGTATGGCCTATTGCGACTACTTTATAACTACAGCTCTTTGTGCAGCAGTTGCTGCAGCTTCAAATCCCTTCCTGCAGGCAGTTTCTCTCCCCCCCCCCTTCTCCGCTATCCGTCTCTCCAAGGTCCACCACATTCAGCTATCATGAGGCGAGAACACACAATATTCAAAACAATCTCTTCGTACCTAGGGCCTAAGATATAACAGAACCAATATGCCTCCCCTCCCATGCCTACCAATGTCAAATTTTCTTTCCACACTCTCAGATGTCCGCCGGGGAGTTTCTCTTAGCTCTGTTTGCGGCACAGAACCGTGGGCACTGCTACGCTACTCAGCTCTCCGTTCGGGCCTCCTGCGAACCTCAGCTCACGTCGAGACGTGCTCGCCGAGGGTAGACCAGACTGACCAACATTCCCCGTTTGTCCTGCCAGTGGCCATACAGCCTTCACTGAAGACCAAACCGATTAACTTGGATGACACTTGTTATCCACACTGAAATGCGACAGTAGCCTCAGTCACAGCTGTAATTATACCGTGTGTGCAAGTCATACGTTGTCCCTGGACGAAGGGGGTCATATATGGACTAACAGGGTCATATTAAATCACAAGGCACCTGCTTGGAGATGTAGTCTGAGGCAACACCCTGGTTAATCACTACGTGCTTCACCTGGCGCCCCTGTGCTCTGCCCACACTTACGTAATGTGGCCCACACAGAAATGAGTGTAACACCTAACCCAGTCCGGAGAAATCATACACCATGGTTTAGGGAGCATGGTTTAGGGTGGAGAAAAATCCAAAATACGTCACTTGAAGATGAGACATTAACGACTGACCTTTATGGTCCTGATGTGTCATGGGATGAACGCAGAGCTCAACAAAGCAGCCATCGCAGGGTTTTAAAGCCAGGCGTGCAGGACAATACGGGCTGGAGTAGCTTAGGACATGTTATCTGAAGATGTCTATTTCAGTTCCCTACCGTAGCACTGGTGAGGTCAATACTTAACCTGAGCTGCTCTAGCAAAACATCCAGCCGTATGAATTCATAAAAAATGCATGTCTCTTTGTAGAAAAGGGTAAGTTGAACAAATGAAGATGAAGTGCTTTAAATCATTCTTTTTTGCATTCAGGGAATAACGTATAGGTCCTCTGCAGGGGTGAAACTTTATTAATAATTTAGTAATACATTTTTGCTACTACCCAGCTGGGCTAGTTTAGTCAAAAATGTAGTCTGACATGTAGTCTGACATGTAGTCTGACATGTAGTCTGACATGTAGTCTGAAATTACTTGAACAGGATAGCGGCTGAGCTTAGTCTCCAGCACAAGTCCATTGCATCCTTAACATTACTTATTTTCATAATAAATAGTTATGATATCATAATAAAAAACCTATCATAATAAAAATATTTTTCTGTGAGTTTCTGTTTACTGTCCCTTTGAAGTTTGTAATGTTTCACCAAATATTAGCCTGCCAGTGACCTGTCAGAAAATTTTCAATCACTTAAGAATGTTTTCCTTCTCATTAAGACGGGAGCCCCAAGGGGTGCCAATATCTGAGAATTACTACATTTTCTGAAACACCATACTTCAGTCCATCACCATGTTCGATGAAAAGATGGGGTGACAGGTATGAAGCAAGACTGTTGAAAGTGGAGACGGTAAATACCTTCTGAATGTGTCAGTTCACTTCACTGCTGCAAGTGCACTGTCTCCAGTGTGTCCCTAATTTCTGTAACATAAAACCTTCTCCCCAAAACACCTCTCTGAGAGGCACAGAAGCTTCCAGTGACATGTGCACATATGCTAACAGCTAGCCTGACTCTCACTAATACCAGCACAAACACTGGGAGCATCGGCACAGCTATGGCTGGGGCTTTGCTTTCAGGCACTGCTGGGCAGTAGAGAGCCAGATCCTCCAGTGTGGCAGTAGTAAATACGTTACTGTAACCCTGACTGAGTGGCTCCTCTCATCTGACCGCCGACGGCTCTGAAGATGCGGCATACCTGTTTGAACAACCCGGTTCCTTCCAGTTTCAGGGTACTTGTCTTGTCCAGCTAGTGTGCTGCTCTTCGCCAGATAGGCAGCCCTGCATACAGTTACTGTATGCCATTATAATGCTTTCAGTAAACATTAACTACCATTACCTTGGGAAAATTTACAACACCCTTGTAATTGTCATACTATACTGCTTAACAATTTTTTACATCCTTGTTTCACAAATCAAAATCGATGAATCTCACAGTACTGTTTAAGCTGAATTGAAATACCTACTCAGAATTTACCTATCCTGCAAGGATTTGACACGCAAATAAACCTTATGCTATACGCATATTCAGTGTATGTGTACGGTGGATGTGACTCATCTAAAAGGTAGAAGTGTATGATTTACTGCTGTACTTGGCCTCAGGATGGTCGCTCTTAAGGGTCCAGCAGACGTCAGCCAGCAAACTGGGACTCCGCTTGCCTTGATATCGTTTTTCAATATCAGAGTGAGAGCAGGACCCCTGTCTCAATATGTCTATACATGTTGCAGCCTGTGAACGCTGGCAAAACAGACTTACAGTACTTTGTGTCCTTCTATAATATCCTAAAAATGCTCAGAAATAGAAATAAAATCATTTTTCCTAAACTACAATTAAGTATGCCCATACATTCTTAATAAGCTATTATACACTATCAATATAGCTTAAAGATGACATCACAGAAAATCTATGGACGAGAGCAAAATTCTCAGCACATTTGTTAAATCGGCATTAACGCGTACATAAAAGTGTGCTTCTCAAAAAACCTGATGTGATGTGAAGATTTTGAAGTTATGACTGTGATCAGCATTACAAAATCTATGTGCACACCGAGAATTATAAAGGAAACAAAGACCTTGTCAACTGGTGTTGCCTAGCCAGCAGGACCGGGGGGGGGGGGGGGGCACACACCATGCTGGAAGCCCCCGTTTCAATGCACATGTTCGGGTTTGTTCGTGAGATGAATGGAGGTCAGAAGATTCAGGATATGGTGGCTGTGGGCCTTGGTATGTTTATTTTACATCCTTTACAAAGAAGAGCTAACAGTGTATAATCAATAAACAGAGAACAGATGTTAGTACAATGTAAGAAGCAACCTTCATAATTCATACAAATGCTAGCAAACGGGTGGCAGGGGACGCCACCGAAGGAATACTAGTCTGTCAATGGGCAATTTAGAGGCACCAGGTAATTGTAGGCCTACCCTCAAAAGTACAAAGTGGTACTTTTTTCCCTCACAGTGCAGGGATGGAAACTGCACTATAGATTCCACAAACACCACAATGTGGCCGGGAGCATAATTAATGGCAGGTGGTGCACTTTGACTGCCCGTGTTCGGGTTCACAGAACACGCTGAGCCCTTTGCAGACAGACACGTGACGCTGGTCGATATGGCGAAGCGACGTAACAGGAGAACAGCTATCACTGTTAATGGATAACAGAACAAAATAGCAATGTGAAGAGGGATACTGAACACCTGCGACAGGAGCCTTGGGTGTCAAATAATAAGTAACGATTTTACCATATTTTAAATATTTCACTCACCTTTTTTTTTTAAGTAAAAATCTTGGAATGTGGCCTGTAAGATAAATCCATTTTTTTTATCTTAGATTTCAACACAGGCCGTGGCTTGTATTTTAAAAGTTGGTTTTGTTAAACAACCAGTTTTTATAGTATTATCATCCTTCTAGCTTATATAACCATTTATCCAGTGCAGGGTCAATGTGAGTCTGAAGTCAGGAGCAGAGGTGGACATTTCAGGTCCGGAAAGTAAAAATCCAGACCAGGATTTTGTTTCAACCAACCAGCTGAGTACTATATGGCTGTGAATCTTTATACTCAGCAGGTTGGTTGAAACAAAATCCTGGTCTGGATTTTTACTTTCCGGACCTGAAATGTCCACCTCTGGTCAGGAGGCACATGACAAAGCAGGGACAGCCTGGACGGGACGCCAGTATGGCTCCGTCTGGAAAGCCTACACACTACATTCAGAGATGCCAATTTGCTTACGTCTGCGGGAAACCCAGTGGGAACGTGAGGAGAGCGCGTTCAAATTCTACACTCACAGAGCAGGGGGTGGGAATTAAAGCCACAACCCTGGAAGTGTGAGGCAAGGCGAATGTTTGTTTAAGATAACAGTAATATACGGTGGCTGAGTGGGTAGTACTGTAGCCTCACACCTCTCCTCTGTATTTGTGTTTTCCCCAGTGTCACGTGGATTTCCACCTGTAGTCCAAAGATATGCAGTGAGGTCAATTGCAACCTCTGAATTACCCCTATTATATGATTAGGCATGCATATGCCCTGTGATGGACTGGTATCCTGTCCAGGATGTACTCTAGCCCTGTGCTGCATTGGTTTCATTTTAAAAACATTCTGTTTAGACTTTAGAGCAAAATCAGGAAAAACTATAATAATAGATGTTTTATGAAAGTTTTACACGGTAACACTTGGAGGGGACACAAATACTTAGTAATAACTCATTTACTACTGAAGTACAAATCATAGTCACAATCACTAGTTCACTAAGACTTACAGAATTAACAGGTACAATAACAGATACATTGTAGTACCGGCGGGATTAGCATTCCCTGCATGCTTGTGGCCAATTGTAAATAGCCCCTCTCTGTGCATTGTAAATAGCTCCTTGTTGTACTGTTGTTGATAATGTCTTGGTCTGCTTGGCACTACAGTGGTGTCAGAAGTGAGACACCGGAAGAGATCCCACTGGCGCTGCTGAAGTGGCTGCTATACAAGATCATCCGGCAAGCCTGCTCCAGCTTGGTGAACCTCAAGGCAGCTGAGAAGAGACAGCATGTGAGGAGGATGACTAGGGATGGGAAACTTGTCTGCTGGTGCTGCAGGAGAGAAGGGCACCGGGCACGCCACTGCCCGTAAGCCCGCACCAGAGCCGGCGGCAGACGAGCAGGAGATGCTGGAGCAAGAAAGGCACCATCGAGGGAGGATAGCGAGCTCTTCTGCGGACTCTGGCCGCTCACCGGCTATCGGCTCACCGGCTATCGGCTCACCGGCTATCGGCTCCCCAGCGTGCTCCCTGCTCATCAGCCGCAAGGAGCCGCAACGAGACCCCAGCTATGAGCACAACCAGCAGAGGCAGCAGGTAGAGACTGCTCTGCATGAGCGTGAGGAGGCGTGGCGCAGCTGGGAGGCTCAATTAGCCCAGGAACACAGTGAGCTTGACGATCTGTGGGAGCCGACCAGCAGGACCAGCAGCAGCTGCAGGAATCTGCAGAGCAGGAGCGGCTGTGCGGCAAGCCGGCCACCTGGGAGCAGGAGCATGACAGCCAGGTGTTTGGCCAAGGCAGTGGAGGGGTCATTACAGGGCAGTGGGATGGCATTGTTGGCGACACCGGGAGAAGGCATGCCACGACTTGGAAGCCCAGCTGGCCCAGAAGAGTTGCGAGCTGCAGGAGGTGGAGGCCACGGTGCGGGACCACGAAGAGGTGTGCGTCACTCTGGAGGCCCAACTGGGGAAGGACCCTCTACCAGCGATGGGAGGAGAAGGGCAGCTCGGCATGGCTGTGAGAGGTTACCTAAGTCGCGGTGTAGGAGCAGCTGTGCAGGACCACTGACCCTGTAGGCAGGAGGTCCTGTGGCAGGACTAGCCTGCCGCACAATATTGAGGCCCCACTAAGCCGGGTAAAAAGCAGGGCTGGGGCCAGGAGGAGGCTGCACCGCCAGCAGTCTCCGGCTGCTCCATGCACTTGCTGTCCCCGGAGAAGGGGGACTGACTGTGGAAGTCATTAGGAGCGGTGCTCCCTGGCCAGGAGGACCCTCTGGAAGGGGTGCCAGATCCACCTAAGGTGCGCAAGAAAAAGGGTCGCCAGGTGGGGGGATCTGACACGCCAAAGCCTGCCAGTAGCTAAGTCCTGCTGGTGCTTGTGAGCATCGGGAGATGAAGGCCCGCCATCATTGCAAGTGATGCACCAGCACCTGCAACTGGACCCCTGGGACTTGCTTCAGAACTGAGGTGGGGACTGGGGGTGGTGGTTGCCGGGATGGCCGACCTTTATGGGAGGGGGCAGTGTAGCACCAGTGAGATCTGCATATCCCAGCATGTTTGGGGGCCATGTATATAGCCCTTGTGTTTAATCATTGTTGTTAATGTAAATGCTAGTTGAATTTCCCAATGGTGGCATGTATGTTTGCCCGTGTCTTATGCGTACCCTGTCCAATCCTCGCGTGTCCTTAGCGTTGTATAAGTCTCCCACCATGTATGTACCTTACAGTTCGGTGCCTGACCTCCCTGTTTTTTGTTACAGTGTTTGGAGGTCGGATGGATGGATGGATGGATGGATGGTTGGTTTGGAGGTCGGTACCCATTGGATGCTTGTTATAGTCCTTTTAAAGTCTGAAATAAAAGAGCGTGTCCTTCCCGGCAAGCAAGTCTCTTCCTCCTTTGCTGTTCTCGTGATGCCTTGGTCTGCTTGGCGCTACAAAAGTAACTGCTTGAGATAAATGATACGTCACAATTCATTAATGATGAACAAACATGAGAACAGTATTTCATGTGTTATAATTTGTTCCCAGGGCACTTCCTTCAGCAGTTCATAAAGCTTTATGTAATTAACTGACATAGTAACAAATACAGTACTTGCTAGACAATTCAATATGTGTGACAATTCATTAATGATTAACAAACATGAGATCAGTTTTTAACCAACACTTAATTTATTGTTAATTAATACATAAATAATAGCATAATACTACATTATTTGTGTCCTCTCAGGCAAAGTGTCACCATTTCACACTTTTTATTCATGGACCAAAAATAAGTAGCCTACTTTAGTTTTCTGAACTTTTTTGGAATAACTTTGGGGAAAATCTGCTCTCTGACTAATTTCATTTTGGCTTTTCTGTCTTTTCTGTCAATTTGTGATACAGATGGTACATTCACTAATGATTTTGTATGAAACAAAGAGAACTGAATCGTACTTCAGAGCTGTTCTTTTTATTGTTGTGCTCTAAATCCACTCCATTTTATGTGAACCAACCAGTTTTGCATAAATTGCATTCAAGGCAAGCCATATGTCATCATTGGTGGGATGTCTAACTTTGAATCTGATCCTAATCTTACCATATCATTTTCCTAGTGATTATTTCACAGATACAAACATAATAAATCACGTTCCTAAGAAAAAAAGGAAAAAGAAGAATGAGCCATTATTTTGAACGGCTTTCAGAAAAGAACGGACCCATAAGATCAGGCTCCCCTCAAAAATCCATTAGCCAGCAGAACAACCTAGATGGACAGATAGCGCTAAAACTCCTCTAAAACATCTTTAATCAATGAACTGCCCCTTTAAGACCAAACATGCTGCCACTTTGCATCACAAAATGATGTCACTTTCTCTGTGACTACATTTTGAATGGCAATGGAGCACGAGCACAAACACAGCCGTGAAAACACAAACGGGGGATTAATCAAACAAATAACCGAATGCAATAGGGTGGTTAGACAGACAACAGAAAAATAAATGTCAAAACAACAGGGCAACTCACAGCGAGAGCTAATATGTCCAAAGCAATCTGTTCAATAAGGGTAATCCAGCAAGATTACAAAAGGAAAATCCACACTAAAAATAAGCCCATGAGAAATTCACACAGTAATAATCCAAAGAGAATTAAGAAACAATAAGAGGAATGCAAATGGCGGTGCTATCACTCTGCGGTTATCTCAGTGAGATTCAAAATGCTATCTGGTAGCGATAGCCAAAACGATGCTTCATGAACCATTCGCGATACCTGTGAGCCCACATGACCCTCCTGCTCTGCTGTTGGCCGTGCTTTGAGCCCTTTGTTGAACAGAGAGCTCAATCTAGTGGGGTCAGAAAACAGAGCACAGGGTTCTGGAAGCATCATTTTGGCCATCACTACTGTCTGGCAAATGCTTGTCATGTTCTGATGATAAATAGTTTAGAACTACTGTATGATTAACCATATGGTTTCTTCAAGTTTAACTCAGGAGTAAGAATCAGCCTTTAAACTGGAAAGAAATAATGATTTGACATTTATTGTGATGATTATCAATATTGACTGATATGAATTTTTTATTGCGATAACATTTTTGGCCGTATTACCCAGCTCTAGATGTCAATCATAAACAATATAAACTGCTGTGTGTCTTTAGTGCATATTGTGTTTTCATTGTTCTGTACATTAACGTCATGTTAATGTTTAATGTTAATTATTGTAAATAATGTGTGTGTGTGTGTGTGTGGCTGGCCAACATCGTCGATCCATCATCAGCCTAGACTTGCTAGTCCACCAGGGGGCCACCAGCACTGTACTGGAGGCAGCCCTTAGCCTCGGTACAGACATAATGGTCCTCCAGTGTGACCAGTAGCAGCCAGTGCCAGTGGCGGAGGAAGACAGGATGGGAGGCATCTGTGCAGTGGGTGAAGAGGGAAGGTCTCTGACAAAGACTGCCAGTGACATCTGCAACTCCAGCCCAGGTCACGGGGAACAGCAGCACCACAGCAGGGGGGGGGGAGATGGCACAGGCTGTCCAGGAATTGTGGCACATTTAACATCTGAAAAAGCCAGAGAACAAGCACACATCTAAAGCTACGTCCACACTGCTATGTTTTCATTTAAAAACAAAAACTTTGTCTCCGTTTTCGCCTTTCGTCCACATTGCTCTGGAGTTTCAACAACACTCGCAGCATACTTCTAAAAACTCAAGTATAGTTGTTAGTTACTAGTGATGTCAAACATAGGTCTCTGCAGGGTGTTACGGTGAAATGGGTGGAACGATGTACCTAATGGGCTACTTGCACTTAGCACAGGATATATGTCCATTTAATAGCTGCTCCAGCATTTCTGGCCGTCACTATGTAAAGACTAGGGCTGCTGCGATTAGTCGACGTAGTCGATGACTTGCAACACTGCAAAAGGGTCAACATCAATATTTTAAATCGACGCATTGTTTTTTTAAAATGTTGTAATAAAATTACCATTTTGATTTCTAAAATGCTTCTGTTCGTTATAACAAAAGTTTTCCTTTAATTTCACTATGCAATTATGGGAGTACTTCAAACTATCAGCAAAGAAAAGAGGGTGGCTTGTACACTGTGCAAAGTTTTGATGTCATACCACGGCGACACAAAAGCTGTGCATGAGCACTTGAAGAGAAAATACACAGGCGCTATTTTGGATGATGGACCGTCAGAATAGGCAAGACTACCATAAGTGTTGTCTATTCATGTTTATTAAATTAACATTAGGTTGGGAAGCTTTTTAATACCTTTTGTCACTCACTGTAGCTGCTAAACACACTCATTGTTAAAGCCATAAAGTTGTTTGCCTGCTACTTTAGAATTTCCATTGAAAAAATGGACTTCAAACTGCAAAAAAGTACCACTACCCACCAACGCTGCTTAACTTTATGTAACCACAATTTTAAAAGATGCAGTGAAAAGATGTTGCTACGCTGTCCCTTTGTTGACTTCAGTGCTTATCGCTTCCATGAATTACCAAGAATACACCAAATTTATACAGATTACTATAAATTTTGGGTATCACAATCTGCCTCTCAATAATATTTTATGTATACTACTAATCTGTCTATCAAATTGATGGTGTCACACCTGCTTGTCCGACCCCCTCGTGGCACACAGGAGGGTCGGACGAGCAGGGTGTTACAGATGGAGTATTAAGGTATTAATTATAGTGCTGAAAAGCTGACGTCCGTTTTCTAAAGCTCTGCAATGACAAATAGTTTGTTCTTGTCAAAACAAAATTTAATAAAATTAAATTATCAATTTTATTTTCCAGGAAGAAAATTAATCGTTTAGATTAATCGATAAATCAGTAAATAGCTGATGGATTAAACGAAAAAAAAGTAGCCATTAGTGGCAGCCCTAGTAAATACGGTACGGATGAGTATACAGGGTATAGAAAATGAGTAACACTACATGCGTGATCAATCAAAAACAACAGAAATAAAGGAACGGGTCACTTAAGTTAGGGGTGTGCAAAGCAGCCGGCGTAAAAATCCAGTTTTTTTTGCGTTACACTTCTAATTTACTTTATAGTGTCAGTATTCTTTAATTATATCCATTATAATAATTGGATGGATATGCAATAGACAGAGTAGACAGAATAACTTAAACGTGCCATGTATAACTCCCAGAAGTGCATACAATTCGACACAACTACACAAGCATTGTTTTAACCTTTTTAACCGAACGTTAACGTTACTCTGTCAACAGCCTATTGTCTAAATTACCGAGCTAACAGAGCCACGTAAACAGAGTGAACATGAGCACCCGACTGCAGACGTCAATAATGCAGCGTAATGGAATAATCTTCCGAACCCAGTTAAGCTACAAAAATCTATTCAACAAAAATAGTGATGTAGTTAAATCTATTTTCGCTCAGCCGAGCCTTCTCTGTTGCTGTGTGGAGCAGCCTGTGTCAATCAACTCTAATACTACCCCCTACTCCCCCGACTCCTGAACGTCACTCACTCACTCATCCGGGCGTGCACTGCGGTCTCATGAGGAAACGCAGCTTTTTGATATAAAGTTTTTCTTGTTCCCGAACACAATTTTTTTTAAAGTATTTGTAAAAAAATACACGTTATTTGTGCCTTTCCAAATACCATATTCGGGTTC